TCTACTTGTAGAAACCAACCACAATGTTTTACATCATGTGGCAATGTTCAGCCGATCATGTAGCGTAACGTCACTAGCATGCGCAGATCTGACCACCCGAGCAGATCTGGTACCTACATTGGTTGTGACAATTGCAGACAGTGCCGCAGATAGCATCGCACAGAGGAGAGAAAGGAGGCCTCTGATTGGTCAATTCGAGCTCTACACTATACATATTTACTCTTTGGTACCTAATGGCAGAAACTATGGCTGTAGTGCCGTCCACAATGCCTGGCAAACCTCGGACACTATCCCAGACACCGTACAGGATGCTAGTTTGTAGCTCTGTGCGATGGTCTGTTGGTTTGCACCCGAAGCCAAAACACAAGCAGCGCCACGGCCAGTCTTTGGGGAACAGTGTGTCACGGGTGAACTGTGTGTCATCCGGCGTTGAATGAGGGATTGTAGACGTCGAACAAGCTCATCAAACTGACAGATGGACACCCCCAATCCTAGCTAGTTGGTGATTGCCCCTCTTGCGTTGTGGCGTGGAATAACAACGCAGAACACGCTTCAAATTCAGCATAAATCAAAAATATCTGCATCATACCTGCGACAAGCTAACTGTGACTAACTGCTGTGGAGGTATAGCCAGCCCTTTAATCTGACCCTCTTTGTGTTCCTGATAGTTTGAGGAGTTGGGTTTTGAAATGATTTTCCTTGTCTTTGTCTGATAGATCAACCTTTTCTGGCTCTGTTTACTTGCAGATCTCTTTCTTGTCCTGTTTGATTTGGCGTTCTTCAGGGCTCTGTCCAGGAGCCATTGCTGTTTCTTTGCTACTTACTCACTCTTGGACCATTACTGTCAACTATCATGTTTAAACTGATTGTATCTGTGGCTTTAAATCTGGTTTACCCTGAACTAAGCTCTCAGGGTTCAATTAAAACTTGATGTCTGAGAGGTTTTTTTGTTGTTTTTTTTGGACTAAATGAGGATAGAACTGAAGGACTCATCACGACAAAAAAAAGAAGAAGTGAACCAAAGATCCTTGAGCGTTTTAGTTATCTGCAAAATGCTTGGTTAGAAACCTTGGGATAACCTTAGACTAAAGTTTTACTCTGGTAAATCATGGAATATCTCTGTTTCATTCCTTTTTCCATCATTTACAAATTATTGCTGTACCTACCCCATTTGTGTCTCCTCCAGAACTAGATCCTTAATCCGGGCTTTTTAAAAATAATCTTGTTCTGATTTTCTAAGAAAGTTTAAACATGTTAAACTTAAACTTTAGGCTGCTCAGTTGTGCAGTGGGTAGCACTGTTGCCTTGCAGCACAAAGGTTCTGGGTTAATTTTCTGGCCTGGGGTCTTTCTGCATGGAGCTTGTGTGTTCTCCCTGTGCATGCGTGGGTTCTCTCCGGGTACTCCGGCTTCCTCCCACAATCCAAAAACATGACTGTTTTTGGATTCTCCTTAGATGTGAGTGTAGGCACCCCTCGCGACCCCAGCAGGGATAAACGTGACAGAAAATTAATAGATATAAACTTAAACCTCCCCAGACCAGTTTAAGTTTGTGCAAAATGCTGCTGCTAGACTTCTGACCGGATCTTGAATTTGTGTCGTTTTAACTTCACTTTAATGCTACTTCACATCAGTGAGAGCAAAGACCATTTTTTTCAGGTTTTATTTAAAGTAATTTTTTGTTTTATTTTGTTTCAATATATTTGTTTCAAATTAGATTTTTTGAAATTATTTTTTTTACAGATTTTATATTTTCAAATTTTATTAAACTAGTAAAATGTTTATATTTATCTTTTTTGTATATTTCATTTTTTTTTTTTTTTTTTTTTTTACAGTAGATTGAGTTTTAGGAGTTGCATTCATTTTAAGGCAAATGCAAATGGTTACTTTTGATGCAACCGTTGACCAATAAAAAGTCGTTGCTAACGAAGAAGCCGACCAATAGAAATGCATCTTCACTCCTCACTCCAGAGGAAACCCGCCCCCAGAAGTGAAGAAAATGTGATCTTAAAAAAACACAGTTTGAAAACAATACAATTGGTAAAAATCAAATCAAAGGGAAATTTTAAAATAAAATACAAAATCTGTGAAAAAACAAACAACAAAATGAATAAATGAAAATGATAAATTTGAATAACTCAAAATTAAATAAAAATTATAAAAAAAAATGAACAAAATAAGGATAAAATCTGAAAAAATCAAAACTTGAATAAAAAAAACAATTAGAAAACATTTTTAAACAATAAATAAAGAGTTTTCAATAAAATTTGATTTGATAGTTAAACATCTAATACAAGCAGCAAAGTTACACTGAAAACTTATTTTTTGGCTAAAATGTTTTACAAAGTTTAATTCCTGGTTTATTTATGTCTGTATTTCTATTTACAAAAGGTATTTTGCTCACAACAATAAGGAATCCTTTTCTAAAATATTGTATAGTTGCATTTTTTCCTTTGTTTATGTATCTTATATGATTGATTTATATCTAGATAGGTGCTATTGCTGCCCATTCACAGTCGGGAAGCTGTTTTAAAATTAAGTTTCGTATACACTCTGTGTATACTAAATGACAATAAAGTTTGTCTAAGTGCTATATCAATAAAATTTTACTTTTAGTTTTTCTAATATTGTCAGAGGATTTCTAATCCAGTATCTAGGTCAGCTCTTACCAGGTATGGATGCAGGTGAAACATGTTAAATTCTACGTTGATTTAATGGTGCCCAAATCAATTGTCAAATCTAAAGCAGTTTGAGACATTTAAGTTCTGTGCCTTAGAAATATAAACTACACCTGCAGAGCGGAAAAAGTTCACATTTAAAAAACCTCTGTCTTTTATCAATCCTTTTTTATATTGCATGAGGAACCCTGGAGATCCACGCCGCTGTGCTTGTTCATTGAAACCGATTTAATAAAAGCTGTTTAGCGCGGTAGTCGTGGTGGATGCTGATTTGTCACAGAAGTTTTAGGGATGAAGAAATAAACTTGAAATTGTTTTTCCAGCAAATGGAGCAGAGAATATGTTGGACTAAATATCACACAGAAAAACTCCCAAAGTCTGTTAATGTGGATCAATTCAGCTGCAGCAGGAGACAAGTGGAGGCTAAATAAAGGTGTGTGAATATGCTACACACAGATCCGCACACACTCAAGAATAAATCACATTTTCTCTCCCCTGAAACGTATCAGTGGGTTTGAACCAAAATGACAGGAAGCAAATGAAAATATAAGTCGCAGTATCACGGAGGGACAATTTTCAACAACCATGCAGAGTCGGTAATAGAAAATATTCATTCTTCTGAGAATGGGCGGCTGAAGGAGACGAAAAACAGACTCTTCCTTGAGCCTTTTCTAACATTTGTCCTCAGAGACGAAGGAATATATTAGTAAAGAAGTTAAAGGAGGAGCAGGAACAGCACAGCGAATATTAAAGCAGCAGAGAAGAAAAGTAAATGAGGAAAAGCATGATTTAAGAACACATTCATGATAAATGCTGAATTAAAACAATTACTCTGGAGGTAACTAAGGGATGAGAAGAGAAAAGATTAATCCTACAGTTTGGTTTTAAATAATTCATCATACCGAGCTCCTGATGCAAACATTAGCTTCTAATT